CTCCTTGGCTCCTCCTTACTGCTGTCTTTCTGCCACACCCCTGATCTTTTGGTAGGAAAGATCTACACCTAGCCTTCTCGGACAAGGGCAAAAAATCTCGGAGGCCCCGTGTGCAAGTTGCGCATGTTAATGATCCCTTGGTAGTCTAAAATCGATAGGAGTAGGCTTCGGCCGCCATCCGGGCAAAATTCAAAATTTCCTACCAACTGAAAATATTAGGTACGTCCCGCGCGCTCATATGACCTTATGCAGTTGCGAGCGCCGTAAAACACTTTACAAAAACAAACAAACTACTACTACTGCTGCTGCTGCTGCTACTGCTGCTACTACTTCTGCTAATACTGCTACGTAATAATAGTACATGATGCATAATGACACGTGGAATACAATAGTCATGTTAAAAAGATGATGCTGGTGCTGAAGATGATACTGATATGGATGATAATAATAAAGAGGATGATAATATTTTGATATAAATAAATGGGACCATTGCTAGTAATATTTTCATAATAGTGGTTGTACTACTACTACTACTACTACTACTACTACTACTACTACTACTATTACTACTACGGTACTACTACTAATACTACTACTAGTACTGTTGATCATGATGATGAAAGAAAGGAAGGAAGAATGCAAAATCAAATTAAGGTAATAACAACAACAATGAAAACCGTACTTACGTTCCAGTCTGCCGTAATGTTGAGGGTATGTTCGGATTGCAATAACAAACAATTGTGTTTCAGAGATACTTTTTAGAAACCGTTTTGCAGCTATCAATTACATGGTTTCTGCTAGTACATCCTGTTGTCCTACAGTAGAACACATCCTGTTGTCGTACAGTAGAACCTGCTCTAACAGCCCCCTGCCTGTCTAAGTCAGTCACCAGAACAAGTGATCACTTCTTTCGTTCACCCTTGCGTTTTTTTCGGTATTATAATGGTACCGTCTAAAACGTTTGTATACCTGTCTAACACAACCACTTTTCTTCTTGACAATCATGCCCTGACCAAATTCAACTGGATTAAACTACTTAGTTTTCTGTGGGTTTTGTCAAAACATATAGATCTACATTGTTGTTCATGTGTCCTGTAACATTCTAGTGTGGTAGGACAATTCATAAGCCTCTCGGTCTGCCCGTGTGAGTTTATGTAAATTTTCTGTACTTACTTGTTAGTCAGGTGTCTCTGAGTCATGGACATACGAGTAGCCAGCTGGGGTTTTAGCTGATTTATACTGTAACACATGACTTGTGCATACATTATAATATGTTTTAATACGAGTTTTACGGCACTTGCAACATAACCAGATGTTACAGGAGTTTAATATACAGATAAAAGAAGGAGGAGAGGTAAGGACGACAGAATCAAATGTTTGATAGAAAAGAAGGAGCAAACCACACCCGAGTACCTTTACTCAACAGCATATAAAAGGTGTATGAATATATTATGATTATATTTACATATAATATAATATATCATATTACAATGGTGTACAGGTATATGCATTGTACATCGTATGTATGATATACAACATTTACTTACATTTATGAATATATAATATATAGCCTATATATATATATACATA